GCTAGCATGACGATTAGGCGCATCTCAGATATAACTAATCAATAGAAAAAAAACTGCAGAAAATAATATACACAATCCACAAAATACCGCACCTTTCTTCAATTACGCAAATAAACACAACTCAAAAATAATTAACTTTATTACTAGATCTTAGTTTTAAATATTTCACTATCTACAAAGTCAGTCCCTGAGCAATAAACGTGAAGTTACATACAACGGTCAAATGCAGTATCCATTGACAATTTCTTTTCACTAAACGCATGTCTAGTGACTTCAGATAAGTGTGCTGGATGAGGATTTCATTCCGCATCAAATCATATTGACTTCATGTACCACACATACTTGTGAAAGGAGAAATACGCTATGGAATCAAATACTAGCGATGTCTTTGACTAATTCTAAGCAAAAAGAAATATTCCTCAAAAGTCACTCAAGCACGTTCGGTAGTTTCAGACATGCACGTTAGATGAAGATTTTGATTCTTTGTTGAATAAAACCTATGTCATGTACTGGACACAATTGTTAGAGTGGATATTTATATCTTTACGATGTATTCCCATCATCTTTCATGTGTGCTATAGAAAAAAACTATTTCTCAAAAATTAACCAAGCATGTTCGATAGTTTGGGACATATGGATTAAACACAGGGTTTAATTCTTTCTCGAATTGTATCTATTTTATCTTCTAGACATACGAGTAAGATGATTTATTATCTTTCCAGTTAATTGCCACTGCTATTTTCGTTATTTTCAAGGAAGACAACATGCCTCACTAATAATCGAAGCGTGTCTACTGGTTTCAGTCATGCATGATAAATGCTGAATTTACTTCTATCTCGTTAAGTAGGATTTTAATTATGAAGAAATACTTTTAAAGAGAGAGTTATCCTCTTTTACTTTATAAGATAGTTATGTTATCTTGTTACGATGATGATGTTACTGGGTTCACTGTTTTTCCATCATTTCAATATTCCTGATATAGGCATAGAATAGCTTTCTAGGCAGACCTGAATTGTGAATCGGAAATGGAGGCTATCCAGAGGTAGTATTTGTGAAATTAGATTATGGAGTGTAGATGTGAACGTGAGTCTTCTTTTCAGGGGCACCTACGCACCCAGTCACATCTACTTCCACACCTCACCCACGCACCTATCCATACCGGCACCCATACCCAAATGTTAAGTTATATATTAATCCTTTCTTTCGACTCAACAAGTGATACTTCCACGTCTGTCGACCTGTATTCTGTTCAGAATACGATGCCCAATTTAAAAAACACCTTACAAATTCTGGGACGTATTTTAAAAGGCAAACATTCTTATTCTCTTCATTTTGGTAATAATACACAAAAATTAGAGCATGATCTATGAGGAATATTTTTGTTCTTGCAAAATAGTACACAATTGTCATATTAAAACAGGAAAAAGTAAGTTCTATCACAAGTATATACGATACATGAGATAGATATCATTCGATAGACAATCGAATTCTACATCTAACACATATGTCTGAAATGATCGTACATGTTTGAATGATTCTTGAGGAATAGTTATTTCTTTAGCATTAGCTAAATATTGTGGACGTACCTCATAGAGGTGAGAATATTTCCAATCATAAGTATCTCCGGTGAATAAGATGTTTATTATTCGATGGAGAATTGTATCGTTCATCTAAGGTACATATTAAGAATTTTCGGACATGTTTGGATGATCATAGCAGAATATTTTCTGATCCTTCAAATTAGTCGTTAATGAGCCTTTCATGATTGGAAGGTTGACAACGTCGACTGAACAGTTCGTTGCAAATTCAATGCCCAAGCCAATAGACCTACGACATCTCCAGCTCACGAACTCAGTTCAAACGAGCTTATCAGCTGTTGCTACCATTCAGCTCAGTTTTTCAAACAGTCCATCAGTTCAGAACTTTATGTGAACTGTCCTACTCCTACGAGCAAAGCCTATTTCTTCTCGCCAGATTTTTGAATACCGACCAAGTGAAACTCGAGAAAAAGCTTCGCTTCACTTGATCTATTTCTTATTGAGGCAAGAAGTTCACCATGGCTACTGTAAAATCCATTGATGGTATTTCACATAGTTTAACCAATGATCAAAATAGTTACTGAAGTCATTGCATCCATTTTCTCTGCTTGCGAGAATTGACAAGATGAACCAATGAGCGTAAGTTTACCCTCTCTCACATCGAAAATATGCTACTGCAGAAGTGTAATCAAAGATGTTTCACGTCTTAAATGTTGTCCTTGCTTATTCAGAGTCAGAAAACCTAGCCATCTCTCTTGTGTAATACTGATGTGAATACGTCCTTCTTCCATCAGTTCTAACGTGATCTCTCCTTCTCTTTGATTCTCGGTCTGTCCAACGTGACTCCGATATCTACAAGAAAGTTCCAGGTCATTCTCGCATAGATATTCCTAGTAGGGCAACTCATTGAACTCAATTGTTCAATCAAATATAAAATACACAAATGAAAAGCATATTTCGTCATACTTATGTTCGTATCATGCTCGACCAGTTACCCATTGTCATGAGCGAGCACATCATCATCTGCCGCCTTTCAATAACGAGTTCTCAGATGTCATCTAAAGTGTTCGAGCCAATGACCCACTATGTATAGCTTACATCCAGCTACGGTGATAATTACTTCTGTCCCTTCCAATTGGTTAGCGGACTCTGCTTCATATTTGACTCATTTTTGTGCCAGGTCAAAGATTGTTTTTCTTCTACCTTCATCTAGTGCAGCTGGTTCTGGATACGTGCTCTGTTTTGAAGACTTCTTTGTGCAGTATCATTTCCACTACACTTGGAACTTAACGTTCTCCATTTATAGAAGACAGTTGTTAGAAATAACTGACATGTGTGATGCCACTTGAAAATGAACATATCACCAAGAATAAGCATGATTTAGCCGAAACTTTCGAAGATAATAGGAAAGCAATAAATCTATCTTAAACTGAAGCTTCATATAAAAATTCTTCAGAATAACGGAGACGGAATTCTCATAGAAAGTAGAAAAAAAAAATCATATTTTGTCGATTAAGAGCTCCGCGTTTCAGTTAGGAAGAGCCATGAGAACAAACGCTTCTAGGCTGTGTTATGGCCCACGAAGCTCTATTTATATGTGTGGCATGAGCTCAAATAGCGGAGAACAGTTACAGCGATTCACTTATCACCAAAAAAGTATTCCTGACCTTCGTTAATATGCAGTGACTGCCATACTTTCGGTTTTATATCAGCAAACTTGATTTTTTCGAGTAATTTTGCATGTTCAGAGATAGTTGCTCGCTGAAGAAATGGTGTAATGGGAAGCATCTGACTGTCAAAGCCAAATATCGACTGGTAATGATGGTAGAGTTGAATGAAAAGTAGTGAATGACCACCAATGGTTAAGAACTCGATGGTTGTTGAAATCTTTTTGCCAGCAATTTGTAGTACTCTACACCAAAGATCATGCACGTATTCTTCCATTCCAGTACGAGGGACATTATATGTGTTGCTCGTTAAAGTGCTCAATGAAGAGAAGTCAGGAACTGGAAGACGCTTCCGATCCACTTTCCCATTTGCAGTCAATGGTAACTGATCAAGCACGACGAACATCGAAGGAATCATGAATGATGGAAGACGAGAATGACAATGTTTACGTAAATCGTTTTCATTGATACCAGATCCTTGCACATAAGCCACTAAATGGTCGTCTCCCCATTTCACAACAATACAGGTGGTAATATGAGTATCAAGTAAACAGCGTTCGATTTCACCTACTTCAATGCGTTGCCCATGCAATTTCACCTGGTAATCTTTACGACTGATGTAGTAAATCAGACCGCTGCTATCCATTCGAACAAGATCACCTGTTCGATAGTACATTACTCCGTTGATTTCGACTAGTGCTTTTGCAGTCAAATCATCACGACCGAGATAACCGGCAAACACACCTACGCCTCCTACTAACAGTTCACCTTGCTGATCCACGATCACAGGTTGTCGAAACTCATCGTGGATTATGCAGCAGTAATTTGGCAGCGGTCGACCGATTGGGATGGTTGTTTTGTCCGAACAAGAGTCAACAATATGATATGTACTAATTATTGATGTTTCGGCAGGTCCATATAAATTCCACATCCGACATTCTTTCGGAGTATGCTTTCTGAGTTTTGTCAACAGCTTGTTTGATAGAACTTCACCTAAACAGTCAATAAAAAAATTTTTCCTTCTCGACTACAGTTAATGCCCCTCACCACCGGATGCTATCGATCGAATCATTGTTAAATAAGAGCCACTTTCCTCATTGAAGAACTCACATAGACTATTCAGTAGTGTAGGCACAGTGAACATATTTGTGATCTGCTTATTTTGTATCGTCTTAGTCAAATAAGCGAAGTCCATGTTTCCCTGTGGTTGAAGCATAATTACTGAAGCGCCAATCATTAAAGATCCCATAATTTCTAAGATATGTACATCAAATGAGCAGCCAGTTATCTGTATAACAGTGTTATTCTCATTGAAAATGCCTATTTTCAAATGCGAGTGAACGGATTGGTTGAAATTTCTATGTCGCAACGCAACCTGTAACGAAAATCATGATACTCTCTTTCATCAACATCGTGTGTTCTCTGAATTTTTATACATACTGCTTTTGGCAGACCTGTTGAGCCACTTGTGAAAATCACATACGCGAGATTTTCAGACGATACGGGAACTGCTGATAGTAGATCGAGATCGGCACCGCTGATAACGTCCTCAGGGTTGACGACGCTGTCAATGTCAACTGTAAGGACATTATTTTCAAATTTATTCTGCGTCATGCAGTGAACGAGAACCAGATGACTTTGAATTTGCTTCAGTAATGTGTGCAGACGCTGTTCAGGGTGTCGAGGTGAAAGTGGGCAGTAGGCGCCACCAGCCATCTCGATTGACATGATACCAACAATCTAAGCATATAGAAATTCTCCTTTCTACAGTCATATACGAGTATATTAAACAAACTCACCATGGATAGACTTCGCTCTACACATTGACAAATAATATCGCCAGGTTTAATCTCATACTTGTCAAGCAAATGAAGAGCTAACAGTTGTGCATAATAAAGAAGTTCACTGTACGTTAGGGATTGATCGTCAAGTTCGACAGCCATTTTTTGTGATAATTCTATTGCTCGATCGGTAAATGCTTGATGTACACAAGTGGCAGAAGAAAAGGAATCGGGTACCTTATTTATTGATTCGATGAGTCGATTTTCTTCTGGTAATATCAACGAAAGTTTATAGATTGGCTCTATGGTCCAATCCATAGAGGACTCAAACAATTGTTTCAACATAATATGAAACCGTTTTGCAAATTTATTGATTGTCTCTATCTCGAACAGATCAAGCGATGCATGGATTGTGCAAGACAATTGCTCAGTGATCGAATCATAATGGATGTTAAGCGAAAAATCAAATTTGCTTACAATTTCATCCGTTCCAATTTTGGTTGAATAAGGTACGAGAGACAAACGGACATCATCAAGAATAATCTCATTGCTCATGTTCTGAGTTGTATTCGAATCAAATTGAAAAGATGTGTCAAGAAAAGCAGGCTTAGATACAAGTGGATGTTGAGCAAGAATACGTTGAAGAGGAAAGTAAGAATAATGCGAACTATCAGTTGCCATTTGATGCACCTCCTTTACAAGTCGAGCAAATGACCAACAAGGATCGAGTTTACATCGCAAAGGAATTACATTTACGAACATTCCAATTATCGGCATTAGTTCAGGCTTATAACGACCACGAGTATTCATTCCGATACACAAATCTTTTTCTCCATTAGTTAACTTGAACAAAAAGGCATAATAGCTAGCAAGGGCCATATTCTCGAGTGTTATTTTACTCATTGAAGCATAAGCAATAAAGGTTCGTGAAAGATGTTCACTAAAACTAAAAGAAGCTGATATGCCACGACCAGTTCGATGTTCATCAGAAACACGATGTCGATCAAACGGCAATGACAAATGATGATCAATTTTACAATCACGAAGAGAATCAAGCCAAAAAGTACTAGCAGCAGTCATAGGTGTTTGCTGTTCGATGATAGCATCTAAATGATAGAGACAATAAATTAATGGAAGAAAACCAATGAATATTGATCTTACAGTCAATATAACGTAAAGCAGAACCATCTTCACATGACAATCGACCTGTTGTATAAGCTTCATTGAGATCTTGATGAAACACGTTCAATGAGAGAAAGTCGAACATTGCATGATGAAAGTTGAAAATGAGTGCGTTTCCTTCGCAAAGATGATCGTTGTTCACGTTATGCTTATAGAAAACAATATGACATCGAAAGACAAGACCCCGAACAAGATCAAAATGCTGAGGATTGTTTCGTTCATCGTACATAATCACATTCAGTTCTTGGTCTGTTTCGATAGTGCTCTCTTTGAATGTGAATAGTGTTTTATTATCATCACTAGAGTCAATGATTCGTTGCATTAAAGTTTTTTTCTCAGTATCAAAGATAAGTGATGTGCGAAGACTTTGATGTTTTAAGACGACGAGTTGGAGAGCTCGACGCAACTGTTTAATTGATAGAGTGCCACCATGGCGAATGTGATATAGAAAGGGCATATTGCAAATTGCCAACTGTCTTTTTTCAGAGTCGAAACGAGTTCGTTCATCGAGCCAAATACGAGCTTGAGCGTACGAGGCTGGAACTGAAAATAACAAATCTGAGTCGAAAAACATTCATCGAGAAAGACTGATAGTAGAATTTTTTGTTACTGTCCGAGTGTAGTTTTTAGTACGGCATCGCACACTGTGGTGAATATCATTCGAGCTGCAGAAGGTTCTATCAATAATGTGGACGGCAAGGGATTATGAAATACTAGAATAATATCGACTCTTGCATGTTTCATTTCGTGATACCAATTTTTTGCATTTTGCTAACTGTGCAATGACGGTTTCAAGACTTAATCCTATCTACCATTCCCGGCTATATAAAGCGGTGCTACTGTTACCACACCACTAGCCGTACTTTCACTGTGTGACGAATTGAATTCTCAGATAGTGTATGATGAACTTTCGAATGCACGAAATTTCCAGTATTTCATAATTTATCTAACTAGTATATGTAAGCAGGAAGCTGATTTTTCTTGGTACTGCTAATTAGAGAACGTGTTGCCTATTTCAATAATCTTTAAAGATCAGCGTTCAGCTAAGTATTTGACTTGAGAGATCGATTTAATGCACATGAAAGAGGTTTCAAAAAATATCTGCCCATCTATATAGGATATTAGCGAAATACACTCTAACCCACTTCAACTGTCGATTAACTCGAAGTTAATATCAATCGATAGAGCTTCGAATTCTGTATTGTTCAGACCCATTCCAAGCCACTTGCTTTAAAAAATCTTTGAT